GAAGTCCACCCATCTTAAAGTTGCTGAGGTTAAGGAACCCTGTTATACTACACTACAGTACACTATACACAGGGCGGATAGAATAATCACATCTTAGAATTTAACAAAACCATAACAAATCTTCAGCTAGCCATACTTTTTATTAGAAGCCATTGTGAAAATAAATCTACTGTAATCTCACCAACATTTACCCAATCTAAAGTGTTATTTCTGCTCTGATTTGATGAATAGCAGCTCTTCCAAACTGTGTTCAGAGGATCTCCATGGCTTCTTGAATATGTATCAGGAGTTCCTTGATGAAAGCAGTAATGGTGGACAACCTTTTCTAAAAGAGCCATTCTTTTCCCTCTGAGATATGAAAGTTTAAAAGAATGTTTGGTGCTTTTGCAAACACTTCCAGTGAGTAAGATCCAATCTAAGCGCTCTCCAAATTCCATATGCATCCCAAAGCATCCATGAGCAACTTCATAGAAAGTATTCAGGGGGTCCTGTCCAGCTGAGTTTGTAAGAAAATAATTGCCCGAAGGTAGAATGTCTGGGCATGATGGCTGTGAGTTATACTTGCTTTAAGCTTCAGAATACCATTCCTCCTGCTGGAGTTTTCCTCCATGTGTACCAGTTTTCTCCCTATATTTCTCTTGTAATAAAATTGTCCACAGCAATATCCACTAACAACTTATTTCATTAGAGATTTATTTCATAGCTTGTGCTATCTCTAAATGGCACTGATTGGGCACTGCCTGCATTTTTTTTTCTTTCCCTTTTTTCTCTCCTCAGCTTATTTGAAGCATTCAGTCAATTTGAAAATCCTTCAGGGACAGTTTTAGAATGCTCCATATGTAAAATGAAACATTATTATGGAAATGATTCTAGAAATATCTTGGTTCAACTAAACATTTCTCAGTGCTCTGAATTTTATTCATGAAATGTAGGCTCTTTTGAATCCTCTGAATGTCTACATTGTTCCATGCTCACAGACCTTCAGGTTTTACAGTTTAGTGATGACAATTTCTGAAGACTTGGGCAATGCTGACACTATTAGTAGAATAAAAACGTAATAGGTGTTTGTGAGCAGGTGAGTACCAGAGCAGTCTGAAGTCCTGGATTCATGAGATTATAGTGCCTTGAATATACTGCATCTTTTCTATAAATTAGAAAAGCTTATTTAAGCTTAGAGCTTAAAGTTTCTGGGAGTTGAAGTCCACCCATCTTAAAGTTGCTGAGGTTAAGGAACCCTGTTATACTACACTACAGTACCTCAGCAACTTTATACTACACTACAAAACCTCAGCAACTTTAAGATGGGTGGACTTCAACTCCCAGAAATCTGCATTCTGGACTTTAGGAAATATGACTTCAGAAAGCTAAAAAAATACTGGCTAGGATACATAGGATCCAATGAATACAGATATTCAAGAAGAAGGAGGTTCAAGAATAGTAAGAGTGACTTTAAAGCAAACTGTTGACAGCATAATTGCAAACAATTTCAATAGGGCAGTCTTCTTTAACCTGGATATGCAGACCAACTCTCAGAATTGCCCACTTAGGTATTGTCAAGACTCAAAATTCTGGGAGTTCAAATCTACATGCCTGAAGGGCAGCCTAGAGGGGACAGGTGTCAAGAAGAGATGGGCTGAATAAGTAATGTGTTGAACTTAGCTGTAAAATAGACTCATACAGGTAGTCCTCAGTTAATGACTGCCCTCTTTAGCAACCATTCAAAGTTACAACAGCGCTGAAAAGGTAACTTTATGACCAGTCCTCGAACTTACAACTGTTGCAGCATCCCCATGGTCACATGATCGCAATTTGGGTGCTTCGCAACCAGCACACATTTATGACTGTTGTAGCATCTTGCAGTCATATGATCACCATTTGCAATCTTCACAGCTATCTTACAACATGCAAAGTCAATGGAGAAGCTGGCAGTAAAATTGCAAGTTGCAGTCACATGATGTTTCGCTTAATGACCACATCACTTAGCGATGGAGTTTCTGGTCCCAATTGTGGTCGTTAAGTGAGGAGTACATGTATAGGAAATAGAAGGAGGGCCAAAACACTGAGGATGGGTACCAGCAAGCAATCAAAGCTTGGCATGTTTTAAATAAACAAATTGAAAGACTGTCAAAAGAGTTAAAGCTGAGCATGAGTTTAGGAGATTTCAATGCAGAGGCACCTAGAGCAACCAGTCAAGATATACTATGTAGCTATTCCATCTCTCCTATGGTAAGAAAGATTGTAAAAAACCAAGGAAAGACAATGACACTTTTACACTTTCTAAAATTCCATGTATTTGAGGCAGGGAGACTACACCATAAAATCTTAAGTGCCCTAAGGTTTGAGAGAAACATTATAACAACTGAGAGAATCATTTTCCTATTTTCAGTTCAAGAGGAAGTAAGGCTACTCCATGGAGAAATGTAGCTGGTGACTGCTCAGCTGTTGCATTGCCACAGTCTTCTTTCACAAAACAATGAAGTGAGCAATGAAGTGTAGCAAACCTAGCTGAAGCTGGGGAAGTAGTAACTTTCAGGTGAGGAAAGAGATTATGTGAGAGCACTGTAAATGTATTCAGATCTTCAGAGCCA